TTTCTATTTGTAGATAATTTAATGTTGCGAAGAGCTGTACTTTTACTATATATTAGGGGTGTCTACAGATAGATAGAAAAAAAGATTTGCAGATCGTTTCGTCCGTACAATAAGCTAGACTATATTGAAATTAGATATTAAGGATCATTAGAAGTCTTGGAATTAAATGGAATCTTGACATTTGGATTATTAGATTTTGGTGTTGTATAGAATAGTATTGTGCCTTCGACATTTTTTAGTTCAATATACAATAATTATTTTTAAATAATAAGAAAATGGTCCTTGATTAAAAGCTCCATTCTTATCAAAAATATGCAAATACGAAATAACAGTCTTCGCTTTAAAATTACAGAAATCGGAAATAACTCTTCGCTTCTAAAAAAAAATATACAAATTGGAAATAATAGTCAGGAAATACATTTTTGAAGTGAAAGAGAATGAAGTTTTTAAACAAATAATGTCTTACATCTTCAGTTTCTTCGGATTATTTTTTTTAATATTTAAAACAATATGCGTTAGAAACTCTCTTTAATATTTCAGGTTTTCATTCACTGCATTGTTACAATTGAGAATTAAAGTTATTTAAAAAATAATTAAAAATATCTGTTACACATAAAAATATGAATAGTTTAGATACTTGAAGTTAAATGGAAACAATACGTGTTAGAAACTCTCTTTAATATTTCAGGTTTTTATTCATTGCATTGTTACAATTGAAAAGTAAAGATTTATTAGAGATAATTAGAAATATATTTTACTCATGAAAATATGAATAGTTTAGATATTTGTAGCTAAATAGAAACAATATGTGTTAGAAGCTCTCTTTAATATTTCAGGTTTTCATTCACTGCATTGTTACAATTGAGAAGTAAAGATATATAAGAGATAATTAAAAATATATTTCACTCATAAAAATATTAATAGTTTAGATATTTGTTGCTAAATGGAAAAGCACTTATAATTTTAAACATGATAAATCATATTTTATATTTTAAAGCAAATATCTAATTCCATGTATTGCCTTTCTCAGATACAACGACAAGAATTGACTAAGTGAAGTAGACAGTTGCATCCACTGTTTACATTGAGTGAGCTCCTTTGTGTAGATTTTGAGTCACAACTTCTACATATGAAGTTTCTGAACTAAACATTTAAGTTAACTTCGAATATAAATTTGAATATATCAAACATGGTACACCTCCATTGAATAGAAAGTATCAAAAATATTACTTTCTTTCACTTTACTATCGAAATATAGAAAAAAAAATACTCTGTTTAATATAAACTTACTTTCTGTCGTCACCGATCGAACCCGAGCTAAATCTGATTTGTTGCCGACAAGTATGACAGCCTTTGAACGTAATCCAGGTCCCAGTGGGAGAGATGCGGGTGGTTGCCTATTGGCAATATTCCTCATTGTGTTTAGACAGAGGACGGCTCTTCGAAAGCTGTTTCGATCCGTAACTGTATATGTCACCATAATGGCATCTGCATTCACAAACTCTTCGAGGGAAGGCTGAAAAATATTGAATTTCGCAAAATAAATATTCGATAGAGGTAAGTTTTGGAAAGAAACATATGTTGTACAATTCAAACTAAGTACCCGCAAGTAAAACATGCAAATGAATAAATATTTTAGTGAAAAAAAAATGTTGCTTTATATATTTCTTCACAAAATGGGAATAGATAAAAAATAATTTCATAATACAGTATACGCTATTTAGTTTGACTCCTATTAGTATGAGCCTTTCATTACAACGACCAATAAAATAAAATTTCGTTGGTTGTTCCACAGACTTATATGTCTCTATACAAAATGTGAATAGATAAAAATAATTTAAGAAATACAGTGTACGCTATTTAGTACAACTCCTAATACTATTACTCTTTCATCAAAACGACTGATAAATAAAGTCCCGTTCGTTGTTTCACAGATTTATATGTTTCTTTACAAAACGTGAATAGATAAAAATAATTTAAAAAATTCAGTGTACGCTATTTAAACGACTCCTATTACAATTACATCATAACAACCGATAAATGAAAGTTCCGTGTTTTGTTCTACAGATTTATATGCTTATTTCTTTANTACAGAAATCGGAAATAACTCTTCGCTTCTAAAAAAAAATATACAAATTGGAAATAATAGTCAGGAAATACATTTTTGAAGTGAAAGAGAATGAAGTTTTTAAACAAATAATGTCTTACATCTTCAGTTTCTTCGGATTATTTTTTTTAATATTTAAAACAATATGCGTTAGAAACTCTCTTTAATATTTCAGGTTTTCATTCACTGCATTGTTACAATTGAGAATTAAAGTTATTTAAAAAATAATTAAAAATATCTGTTACACATAAAAATATGAATAGTTTAGATACTTGAAGCTAAATGGAAACAATACGTGTTAGAAACTCTCTTTAATATTTCAGGTTTTTATTCATTGCATTGTTACAATTAAAAAGTAAAGATTTATAAGAGATAATTAGAAATATATTTTACTCATGAAAATATGAATAGTTTAGATATTTGTAGCTAAATAGAAACAATATGTGTTAGAAACTCTCTTTAATATTTCAGGTTTTCATTCACTGCATTGTTACAATTGAGAAGTAAATATATATAAGAAATAATTAAAAATATCTGTTTCTCATAAAAATATTAATAGTTTAGATATTTGAAGCTAAATAGAAACAATATGTGTTCGAAACTCTCGTTAATATTTCAGGTTTTCATTCATTGCATTGTTACAATTGAGAAGTAAATATATATAAGAAATAATTAAAAATATCTGTTATTCTTAAAAAGATTAATAGTTTAGTTATTTGTAGCTAAATAGAAGCAATATGTGTTAGAAACTCTCTTCAATATTTCAGGTTTTCATTCACTGCATTGTTACAATTGAGAACTAAAGATATTTAAAAAAATAATTAAAAATATCTGTTACACATAAAAATATGAATAGTTTAGATACTTGAAGCTGAATAGAAACAATACGTGTTAGAAACTCTCTTTAATATTTCAGGTTTTCATTTATTGCACTGTTACAATTGAAAAGTAAAGATTTATAAGAGATGATTAAAAATATATTTTACTCATTAAAATATGAATAGTTTACATATTTGTAGCTAAATAGAAGCAATATGTGTTAGAAACTCTCTTTATTATTTCAGGTTTTCATTCACTGCACTGTTACAATTGAGAAGTAAAGATTTATAAGAGATGATTAAAAATATATTTTACTCATTAAAATATGAATAGTTTACATATTTGTAGCTAAATAGAAACAATATGTGTATAGATATTTGAAGCTAAATGGAAAAGCACTTATAATTTTAAACATGATAAATGATATTTTATATTTTAAAGCAAATATCTAATTCCATGTATTGTCTTTCTCAGATACAACGACAAGTATTGACTAAGTGAAGTAGACAGTTTCATCCACTGTTTACATAGAGTGAGCTCCTTTATTTAGATTTTGAGTCACAACTCCTACATATGAAGTTTCTGAACAAACCATTAAAGTTAACTTCGAATATAAATTTGAATATATCAAACATGGTAAACCTCCATTGAATAGAAAGTATCAAAAATATTACTTTCTTTCACTTTACTATCGAAATATAGAAAGAAAAAAAAAACTCTGTTTAATATAAACTTACTTTCTGTCGTCACCGATCGAACCCGAGCTAAATCTGATTTGTTGCCGACAAGTATGACAGCCTTTGAACGTAATCCAGGTCCCAGTGGGAGAGATGCGGGTGGTTGCCTATTGGCAATATTCCTCATTGTGTTTAGACAGAGGACGGCTCTTCGAAAGCTGTTTCGATCCGTAACTGTATATGTCACCATAATGGCATCTGCATTCACAAACTCTTCAAGGGAAGGCTGAAAAATATTGAATTTCGCAAAATAAATATTCTATAGAGGTAAGTTTTGGAAAGAAATATATGTTGTACAATTCCAACGTAAGTTCTCGCAAGTAAAACATGCAAATGAATAAATATTTTAATAAAAAAAATTATGTTGCCTCATATATTTCTTTACAAAATGGGAATAGATAAAAAATAATTTAACAATACTGTATATGCTATTTAGTTTGATTATTATATGTATGAGCCTTTTATTATAACGACGAATAATTAAAATTCCGTTCGTTATTTTACAGATTTATATGTTTCTCTACAAATTGAGAATAGATAAAAATAACTTAATAAATACAGTGTACGCTATTTAGTACGACTCCTATTATTATTACTCTTACATGATAATAAGCAATAAATATAGGTTCCGTTTATTCTAGACTTATATGTATATTTTTTTACAAAATGTGAATAGATAAAACTAATTTTATAAGAACAGTCTACTCTCTTAACTACGACCCTTCCATCATAACGACCGACAAATGAAATTTCATTAATTGTTCCACAGATTCTACGTTAAAAATAACACCCATTATAATGACTTATTCTATTCATTCATTCTAAACATTATGACAGAAATTTAATTTCACGTTTATTCTTCATTCCCAAGAAAATCACTTAAAACCATCACCTTTTAACCTTTCAAGCACCATTGTCGCATTTTTAGAACATGTCTCTTTTTCGAAATGTTAAAGACTAGTAACTCATATTTTTCGTTATTAGCACATATAATTGGAGAAGCTAGAATATTTCGATAAATCAGAATATGTTAATAATTAAAAAAAATTATATCCAGTGTTACTTATCCTGTTCTATAATCAAATAATTGCCATGTTTTTAATTAAATTTGTATCTAATTGGAAAAAAAATATCAATACAATTTATATGCAAACGCGCTACCATCTTTTTCAAAAGGCATCTTACTGCGAAATATACAGACATCTATTGCAAAATAAGAGTCAGGTAAGGAAACGGTTGAAATACATCAATTGACAAGGTGTCAAATGATAGTAAAATTTTCAAATAAATACATTACAAAACTATTTCTTTTCATAGAACGACGCATTAAAAAGTTCGAGTCCAATTTCTTTTGAGTCAAGGACAGTACACCCACGTTTTTACCTAAGTTGTTGTGGGAGAGAGATATTGATTACTTCAAATTAGAGATAATCAAAATAAACTAAAGATGTTGATTGATGTTTATGAAGAAAAAAAATTTCTCGTATTTATTAGTTATGAGTAATGTAAGTAAACATTTACAATATTTTTTTGTACCCTCGATATAGCTAATACAACTATCACTTCTGTTTGGAATACAGACTACAATCGCTGAAACCTTAAAATGCATTTCACTTTTTCAAGTTATGATAACTTTAAGTTATGAATAACTTAAAGTTATGATATTCCCTGCTTAAAAACTAAACCATTTAAACATACGTTGAGTAATAGAAAGTGCACAGAGAGAGTAACGAAACAAAGAAAATTATTGTTCCATAATTAGTATAAGAGTTATTGCTGTTAAACTTGCTGTAAAAAATACTATTCGAGCCGAACTGCATCCAGCTGAAATGCAACTCCGGAGCTGAAATTTGAGTTGCCGAAATAACCATTTCTATTTGTAGTCATAACGTGATTTTTCGAAATTCCAATTTGTTTGAAAAATATTGCAATTTTAAGTGCTATAAACTGAAAGATTGTATGTATATATATATCTTTCTTTCACTTTACTATCGAAATATAGAAAGAAAAAAAAAACTCTGNCCTGATCTCAATCCAATTGAAAATTTGTGGCGACGTTTGAAAATTCTTGCACGAAAAAAACGTCCATCCAATAAAAGACAACTTATTGAAGCTATAATTGATTCTTGGCACCATGTGATTACGAAAGATGAACTTCAAACAGTCGTTCACTCAATGAAAAGAAGCTGGGAAGCTGTCTTAAAAAATAAGGGTTATCCTACTAAATATGGATTGTGTAAGTAGCACTTTAAAAAAATGCAAATCTAAGATAGATCTTACTATTAGTTGCATAACTTTTTTTGTAATACAGATATTGTAATACTATATTCATTATTAAATTTTACATTAAATTGACTTCAATTTGATATATAAACTTTTGTATTTAAGTGAAAATTAATATATTCTACAAGCACACAAAGTTGAAGAACATGAAACTTTCAAAAAGTGTCCACACTTTTGGCCACCACTGTATATATATATATATATATAAACACAAAAAATAAATACAAAAAGGATAAAAGGAAAAAATTAAGAAACCTAATAAGTTTCTTTTGCTGCGTATAGGCTGCAGTATATAGAACTAACAAAAAAAGTTCAAAATATTGAGAAAACATGGAAAAGATTACAGAATAATGAGAAGAAAAAAAGAAACAAATAATTAAAATGAAATGTAAAAAATACATATTTATTCCTTCTGTTAAGAAAATTTGTCTTTCTCTCTGGAAATCTTTATTTTACGAGCTCACTCTTAACTTGATGTCAAACGTAGCAAAAAATAATAAATTAACGAAAGAGAGAGAAAAAGGAAAATAAGATGTTGTCAGATGTAAACTTTTCATGCTGAAATTTTTCTTAATAAAAAAACTTAAATCAGAAGAGATAAAAACCTTTCGTCTCCGAACTGTTATAAGTCTCGTTAACAAGTAAAATTACTTTTTATTTACTTTTTTCTTATCAAGTCACACTAACTGGTAATTTTTTTTTCCAGTGCCGATGATTATTTTTTAAATCCATGAAAATATTCATATCGTTACGATTAACATAATAACGAAATATTTTTACATAAAATACAATAACTGTATTTTCATCTGAGGAAAATATTCCTTAATTTTGAGAAAAACATTGACTTCTAAGGAAAAAGCAATTATTGGTGTTGGTAATTATAGAGAGAAAAATATGGTACATTTTGCTTTTCATTTTATTTCATTTTTTATTTTTTTAAAATTATTTTTAGCATTTTAGTTCCCAAGAGGTGTCTCTTTTGCGTATTTACCAAAGAAAGGCTTCAGTTAAATTGGTCTTTTTTTCTAAGTCAAGTATATATTTTTTAATATACTAAATTTCTTTTCCTTCTATTTTACATTTAAGATCCAACCAAATGTTTACATTTAATAGGCTGCTTTGTAAGTTTATTATTTTTTTTTTTGAATTTCGAAATTTCTAATTCAAAAGAAGCAAGGAATAGAACAAGGAATAGAATTTTTTACACAGGTTATTTTTAGTCTATCTTACCTATAGTTTCCCCTCGTACGAAAGATATATTTTTATTTAAACCAATATTTGCACTTGGAAGTTAGTCTTAAGAAATTGATTAAAAAATTGGTAGTGATTATTTTTTTAACAATTTTAAAACATAAAATGTAAGAAACTGAGAAAAAATTTTTGAAGCTTTCTTTTTCAACTTTTTCTTATAGGTATAACAAAAAGCTCTAAATTTCTAAGAATTTTGCATAAAATTTTTCGTTTCACAACGAACTATTTTTCTAAAATCTATTCCTTGGTGGATACAAAGATTAGTTTGCTTTCTCAAAACATTTCTTCATTCGGAGAAATGGAATTACTCAGGAAAATATTTGCATAGCTTTTTTTTATGTCCGTGCAAACATGACCTATATCAACAACTGGTTCTCTGATCCATTGAAAACAAAGAAGCTTCATTATTTTCACACTTTTAATTCGTTGTACTAATTCCACGGTTCGTTTAATTTAAAAGTATTTGTTTTTAACACGATTGTTAGTTGTCGTTGAAGTTTTCTTACATTTATTTCAAAACAAGCAAAAAAATATTTTTATTGAGATACACCGTCTTTTTTCAGAATTCATTAATACATTGTTAGTCGAATTCTCTTAAGGAAAGTGAAAAAGAAGAATTCCTTACAATATAAATACAAACACGTGTTTTTGAAACTTTACTCAAATGTTAAAGTATCTTAGTGTTTCTTTTTCTTTTGGTTAAAGTTCATTAACAGGTTGAATGCCACGCTAATTTTACATGCCTTGTCTGTCTGGCCAAAAAGTAAATAACTACAAATTAAATTGCATATATTAGACAGATTTTGCTAGTTTTTAAAAGGTTTAGCATGACAAATCCATCATCAGCATCAATATTTATCTGGGCACCTGGGGCTGTTAGGGGCCTTTTTCCCATTCGTCTTGAATTGTGATCTTTAGGGTAGTTCTTTCTGGTAATTGGAATGCAATTGGGGTAAAAGGAATTTAAATATTTTGAATTTTAGATAAAATTACGTCACTACAAAAGTAAGCTGCCATCGGCCTGAGGTTTATGTCTTCTCTTAAGTTTTCAAAAGTAAAAATTTCGTTGAATCCTGTGGTGTCACAATTTATGTTTTTTTTCAAAAAATCTGAAATTTAGCTTTGCTATATGATGATCTAAAAAATCTATGTTGAGGTCGCGATGTATGTTTTTATTTCGGATAAACCATCTTGCTTTTGTTATTTTCCTGAGGATTTTGCTCTGGCATGTTTTGAGTTTTTTAAGGAGTGATGTGGAGATGTTGCACCAAGCTGGAGATGCATAAGTCAGGATGTGACGGATCATTGAGATGTAAAGTAAACGTTTAAGTCTAAGTTCCATTTTGGGGTTCTGAAGAAGGATTTGTAATCTGTGGCAGGCTGCGTGTGCTTTGTTGATAACTGTTTTGACGTCATCTTTCCGATTAAATTTACTGTTAATGACCAGACCAAGATATTTTGCGCTTTTGACTTTGGGAATAATTTCATTAAAGAGAACAATTTGATTTTTAGGGAGGATGATTCTTCTTTTATGCTGAATGATTAGTAGTTTTGATTTTTGTCCGTTTACTTTGAATTTCCAGTCTAGACACCATGTTTCGATTTCCTTCAGTTTTCCTTGGAGTTTTTGCAGGGGCATGGCAAATCCAGTCCTAGTGTTTTGATTTTATTGGGCACCTGGGCCGCGAAGCG